GCCAACAAACATATGAAAAAATGCTCATCATCACTGGTCATTAGAGAGATGCAAATCAAAACCACATTGAGATACCATCTCACGCCAGTTAGAATGGTGATCATTAAAAAATCTGGAGAAAAAAGATGCTGGAGAGGATGTGGAGAAATAGGAACACTTTTACACTGTTAGTGGGAGTGTAAATTAGTTCAACCATTGTGGAAGACAGTGTGGTGATTCCTCAAGGCCTTAGAAATAGAAATTCCATTTGACCCAGCAATCCCATTAATGGGTATATATCCAAAGGACTATAAATCATTCTACTATAAGGACACATGTACACAAATGTTCATTGCAGCACTGTTTACAATAGCAAAGACCTGGGACCAACCCAAATGTCCATCGATGATAGACTGGACTGGGAAAATGTGGCACATATACACCATGGAATATTATGCAGCAATCGAAAATGATGAGTTCGTGTCCTTTGTAGGGACATGGATGAATCTGGAGAACATCATTCTCAGCAAACTGACACAAGAACAGAAAATGAAATACCGCATATTCTCACTCATAGGCGGGCGATGAAAAATGAGAACACATGGACACAAGGAAGGGAGTACTACACACTGGGGTCTACTGGGGGGAATAGGGGAGGGACAGCAGTGTGGGGAGCTGGGGAGGGATAGCCTGGGGAGAAATACCAAATGTGGGTGAAGGGGAGGAAGGCAGCAAAACACACTGCCATGTGTGTACCTATGCAACTATCTTGCATGTTCTGCACATGTACCCCAAAACCTAAAATGCAATAAAAAAAAAAAAGAAAACCCAAGAATATGGACAAAATCCTAAATATGATTTTATTTGAAGTAATTTTATGAAGAGATATAAAATTCAGGAGTTAGTTTTAATAACCAAGTCAGACCTTGTAAATGGAGTCAATGCTCATAGTAAGATGTGTTCACCCATTTTGAGGGAAGAAAAGATTGAAGGGACACTGTTTTAGCCACATAAATACTATGGGGACATGATATATCGTAATGTGTTCAATCAGGAAAGCTTTCAAACTCAAAGGATAACCAGCTCCTTAAAACTCTCAGGTGTCACAATGGAGTCAGTGACTGTTCACAGTGAACTGTCTAGAAGTTATTTAATTTCTATCCTCGTGTTGATGACCAGAAAAATTTTAAATGAAAACAACCAATCTGGGCAGGAAGTAATCAGGAAAAAACAAAATTTAGGCAGACAGTTTACAATTGTGTGCACAGACAACTTATCAACAGATCTTAGCTCCTTTCTCATTCCTTTCTCTTCATGTAAGGAAAGCTGTCCCTTCCATGAGAATTCTCAGAATGCTGACAGTTTTACATACCTGTAAACTGCTTTTTGGTCTTTTGGCCAAGATCAATAGTTTGCATACCCATAAAAATTTTTTTTATTTAAAAAAATCAAAATGAGCACTGCCCATTTAAAGGTTTGCAGATTTCTTGTTATCTTTATACTTATATAAACCAAAAACAGATTTGAAGTTTTGAAGATTAGCAAGTCCATCTACATAGGGCAACATGGACTCAGCACCAAAAAATGTATAGCTTTTAAAGATAGCTGGTTTGCTGAAAATGCAATATCCAATGTTGTGTTTATCAAAAATTAAATCTAATTTTTCCAAATAAATATTTTACTTGAAAGTCTTAAAAGATTTTTTTTGGGCACGTGAAAAATAATTTTACAGCCACATACCAAAATTTCAAGGATTAACTCATAATGTGTTTGAATGTCTGAAATCCAATTGGGATCAGTTTTTCTTTTCTCAGTGCTTGAGTTCTTGGTTTTGAGCAGACATGATGAAATAGTAGTGGGTATCAGCACAGCAAATATTCAGTTTCTGATGGCAAGTATTATCTTGTTTCCTTCTGAATTAGCTTTACCAAAATACTTCTGCTGCTACTTTTCTTTAACACAGAATTGAAAACATATTACATGAAATTTTTTTCTTGTTTTTTCCATTTAACATTTTCTCATGTCTTTAAATATTACTCTAAACATAATTTTCAATGCCAGTACATATGAATTCTATGGCAATATAACTTAACTACCTTAGGGATTTTAAACTGCTTTCAAATTTTTGCTTTTATACTGGGATGAAATTTTTATGTGTAATTATGTTTGCATGTCAGGTCATTTAGGATAAATTCCAAAAGTTAATTTACTAATTTAAATAGTAATAACATCTGTATAGTTATACATATTAAAAATTGCTTTTCATAAAGCTTATGAATTTTACATTTCCATCACCATTTGAAAATGCCAATTCACTGCATATTCAACAACAGTGAACATCTTAAGAGCTTATCAGTTTTAAATATTAAAATATCTCACTTCTTTAATTCACCTTTTTGTGAAACTGAACATTTTTTAATATTCACTAATTCTGTCTTTTCAAATTGTTTATAGACTCTTATTATTATAGCATTTGTCTTTCTCATATTAAATTACTAAACTCAAATATTAAAGCATATCCAGAAATTTTTCATTTTTACATTGTCCATTCAACCTCACCCTTCATGATTTTCCCACTACCTTATGCTTAAGAAAACCTGTTTCTAATGCAACAAAACTACTGACATACTTCTAGTTCTTTTGTTTCATTTTGACATCTATATTTCTAATACACCTGGAATTTAATTTTGGTGTAGTAGAATTTAATTCTGGTGTATTCAGAAGGTATGATTATGATGATTTAATATCTGGTAGCATGAGAGCACATTAATCATTATTTCCAAAGTTTCCCATTTTTCCAGATTAACTTTTAAAACCACTTTGTTAGGTTCCCCATCTACTCCTCCTAAAACATCTCATTTCGATTCTTACTGAAATTCTAGTAAACTATTAATAAAAATCAGAAAGAATGTATAGAAGAATGCTGAATACTGGTGCTATCGGGCATCTGTATTTTGGACCTGACTGTCATAAAAATACTTCCAGTGTTTATTTACTTTTTAATATATTGTCTTGTTGTTTCAGATAGAAATTCAGTTTTTATTAGGGGTAATTAAAAAAACTGTTTTTATTACTAAATCTTTAAGTGAATATGGAGTATTTTATCAAATGCCTTTGCAATATCTTTCTGGGATTATGAATATGTGCTTTATGCTTTATCCTATAGATCTCACAATTTTAAAAGTTTCTTAATAGTAAGCCATCCTTTAATTACCAGCATGAGTCCTATTCATTACACAGCATTGTTCCGAAATGTTGATTTTGAGTTGCATGTGCTTTAGTTAACATTTTTACATCTATAGTCTGGAGACTATTTTGGAATAATTTTTTGGATAACTATTTAAATTTCAATGGTTACTATTTTAATTAGATGTTCTACTTCCTTATTTTTTTTTCACCCAGGAGATGTGGTCCTGTTTGTCACCAGTACCTAGGCTGGAGTGTAGCAGCACAAGCACAGCTCACTGCAGCCCCAAACTCCTGGGTTCAAAGGATAAAGGATCCTCCTGATTCAGCCTCACAAGTAGCTGGAACTACAGGAGGGTACCACCATACCTGAGTACAACTTCTTTATTTCACTTACATTTTCTGTGAATGTCATTCATTTTGAGATTTCCAAATTGGAGCTCTAATTTTTAACATCACACCTTTATTTACTATTTATATGCCCCTTCCCCCTAAACTGGTGAGTTTCGATTTTTTTCCTTTGGTTAGGTATCTTAAATATTTGTCTCTGTAAGTGTCTTCCCTATGCCCATCAAGAATCAACCACTGGATTTGTCAAATATCTTTTTCCTTAGCCTAATTTATTTTTACTTACTTGTAGAGTAAATCTTAAGGTGTTTTATGTTGTACTGTGCTATTAACTAAATTGTATAAAGTGTCTATTATCATTCAAACATATTTGGGGGCAGGCTGCTATGAGGTACTATATACCTTCCTATCATTAATTAATTAGAAACGTCATTCTAATTTTACCATAGTCTACTGAAATCTTTAGAACATATTTTTAAAAACTGTTAATGTTTCAGAAAACACTGTACTAACTAGATCTGGTCTTCGAAAAACTAATTTGATTGTGTTTTTCCGAAAGACACTGCTCAGTGTTTTATATTTTTCATTCCCAGTACTTCCAAGAGCCAAACACTTCAAAATAAATTAAGTATATTAGAGGGAAGAGGCAAAATTGAACAAAAAAACAAAATTTAATTTTGGAAACTATAATTTTCATACAATGTAAATATAAACAATTTAAACTTTATGGAATTTGGGGGAAAATACACTTCAGAAGCCACCTTTCTTTTTAGCAATGATAATCTCATTGTAGCAAAATTCAACATTTATGTAACTGCTACTCATCTGTTCTTGCAATATGCCAACTTTTTTTGTCCCTTGGATTCCCTGATACATTGTTGCAAAAATTTCAATTGCTTTTTTCTGTGCAACTGGCGTTCATTTTTCAGAAATGCTAACTAATTACCTCCACTGCTCCCTATGAAACTTTTACGGTCATTACTATAAAAGTACTTTCTTTTGAAATACGTTTTCCCTATTAACATAAGTAGGAAAGAAAAGGCTTTTCTAAGAATGTTAAATACTTTTAATTTTGACTCCTGTGATACCCAAGTCCATGATGACTTTACAAATCACCAGTTGCTCTGATTCATAAATAGACAACATGCCACATTTAACGTAGGGTGTCTCCTCAACTTACACTTTTTCCTCAGAAATTTACATTTTCCCTTCCAATAACCAAAAGAAGCATATGATAGACTTCTCTATACTCACTTTTGAGGTATTTGTCACTTATATTTTTCACTAAAAAGGTTTTTGCACGTGCACGCGCACGCGCGCGCGCGCACACACACACACACACACACACACACACACACACACTTCTCAAGTGGGAATCCTAGAAGGATTTCAAGCAGAGTACAAAATTTCTATTGTTAACTATGTAACCACCATAGCACAGGGAGTTTAAAAGTCAGATGGAGGGCTGGGAGCTAAAGACATCTTACCTGCTTTCCATCCAGGGTGCAGAGCCTCTTGACAACTCCTGAGTCTAGTTTAATGGCTTCGGTGATATCTGTTAAGACTTGTTCAAAGGAATGAGCAGTCTTTTTATTCAGAAGAATCCGCACAGCTTTTCTAGGCTTCACTCCACTTCGAATCACAGTCACTAATTTGGGTTTGATGAAATCTTTACTTTCTTTGACTTCACTTTTCACAGAGGAGGCAGCAGCCAGGGTTCGGGATGTCCCACCCTTGATGTTCACAGACCAGTTCGGATTAATATTTTTGGTGTAATCAACTTTACGAAATGGTTCATTGGATGCACACACGTAACTCTCACCTAAAAAGCAAATATTGGTTGTATTAGCATGATTATTTCTACCATAGAAGCATTGGGTCTAAAGAACAGATGCTGGAGACTCATTAAGTGAACCCTTTAACCTTAGCAAGTTCACTAAAAGGGATGTTCACCTTTTCCTTTGGCATTCTCCCACCTCCCTTTCTTTTAAATAGTCTAGATTATGAATCATTCTATTATAAAGATGCATTTACACATACTTTTATTGCGGCACTGTTCGCAATAGCAAAGACTTAGAACCAACCCAAATGCCCATCAATGATAGACTGGATAAAGAAAATGTGGCACATATACACCATGGAATACTATGCAGCCATAAAAAAGATGAGTTCATGCCCTTTGCAGGGATATGGATGAAACTGGAAACCATCATTCTCTGCAAACTGACACATGAACAGAAAACCAAACACCACGTTTTCACTCATAAGTGGGTGTTTAACAATGAGAACACACGGACACAGCGAGGGGAACATCACACACTGGAACCCAGGGTTTGGGCAGTTAGGGAAGGAATAGCAGCAGGTGGGGGGTTGGGGAGGAATGGCATTAGGAGAAATACTTAATGTAGATGACAGGGCAATGGATGCAGCAAACCACCACCATGGCACGTGTTTACCTATGTAACAAACCTGCACAATCTGCACATATACCCCAGAACTTAAAGTATAATAAATAAAAATAAATAAAGTCTAGATTGGTTTTGAGAGAATAACATGGATGACAGGGTGAGAAGCACTAGACAAAATATGTTGACCAATGTGTCACCTTGGGTAATTCATTTCTCCACACTTTGGTCTGCAGTATCATTAGCAATAAACTGAAGTGGCTGAACCAGATGAATTCTAAAGTACTTCCTGATTCCAAAAGCCTATTTATTAATTTAGTTTAAAAAATCTCATTGTGGTAGAAATAATTATGTCACAATATATTGATATGAAGAAATCAAGCATCTTTCTTCCCATTATAGATTTCAGTCCTAATCAAAGAATAATCACATCTTCACACAGCTGGCTCAATTATACTGAGGTACAAGATCACTTATTAAATTAATGAAGCACCACAAACATTAAGGAAGAGTTCTGGCTGCTCAAATAAATATGCCTCAGCCATTTTTCTTCTTAAAGAATGTAAATTAAAATAACTACTGTTTAAAGACAATACTTTTCTGTATCTACTTAAATAGGAGAAGATATGAAGTAGTTAGAATGATATGTTAATTACTCATGAAACCTTCTGCTTAATTTTTATTAAGTACAACATAAGAGCTATATTATTTGCCAAGTGGCTTATTAATTCAATATTTACTGATATTTTTAGTTCCAAAATTTCCAAAAATTGTATGTTAGGATACCATAATTTTTCATCTAGGAAAGTTGGAAATCACCCAATGTTTTCATACTCTTGACTTTTTGACATAGAAGATAGGAATGTTATACTCTAAGATTTTTCTCTCAGTTATCTTGTAACTCAAAAAGAATCCATTTTGTTATACATATTCAGTATAACACACTCATTAATATGAATCTTAAATATTTTAAATACTTAAAAGTAACCAAAATAGTGAAATTGGAATTCCTGAGAAAAACCTATCAATATCCATATTAACTATTATCATAATGTTCTTGAAATCCTGATTAATGGCAAATTTTAGAGCCTCCAAAGGCACATGAATAAATCAGTAACAGATTAGGCATACAAGAAGATTTTATTTTTATTTATTTTATTTCTTTCTTTTGAAGCATGGTCTCTCTTTCTGTTGCCCAGGCTGGAATGCAGTAGTGCAATCACGGCTCACTGCAGCCTCAATCTCCTGTCTCAAGTGATCCTCCCACATCAGTGTTTCAAGTAGCTGGGATTACAAGTGCATGCCACTATGCCTGGCTAAATTTTTTATTTTTAATAGAGATAGGGTTTTGCTATGTTGCCCAGGCTGGTCTTGAACACCTGCACTCAAGCGAGTTGCCCACCTTGGTCTCCCGAAGTGCTGGAATTACATGTGCCTGGCCCCAAGAATGACTTAAAAAGAAGAGCAACATCTTCTATTTAACGGTATAATTAAGGCATTGCCCAAGAGAACTGGGGAACCAATCACAAGCTTTAACCCCATTTCTACACCAGTAATGTGAAATCTAGCCCAATCACCACAATTTAGAGATTTTTCATCTCTGTAGGCTTAACTAAATCATTTTTCACAGTACGGTCATCTGGGAAAATAGCATACAATTTCAAAAATAGTTATCAATAAAATAGAACTATAACCACATATATGCATTAATGGGTAAAACAGAATTTCACTTTAACATCATAGAGAAAGCATTTCTCACATCAAAATGCTCTTACTATTTTTACCTATCATAAAACTTTAATTGTACATTCTGATTCAAAGTATAAGATAGAGAAAAAGGAATCTTAGCAAGAAAAAGTAATTTTTTTTAAAAAAGGGCAGGAATAAGTAGTAAGTCATGTGGGAGGAAAGCCTGTCCCAATATAAAGAGTAATAATGAAAAAATAAAAAGAGCAAATTTCATATATCAGATTTTCTTGGTCAACGTGTCTCTACACAGTTGACATATCCACAAAGAGATCTGCTTCTTACATTTGTCTGCATTTTGTTTCCTTACACAGGTTCACAATGTCAGAATGAAGTAGGTAAAGGAAGCCCCTTAATTTGTTTTTCTGTAGTTACCGATAAATTTTAATTCCTTCCCTTTCTCCCTTCTTCTCTTTATAATGTTTCTATTAAAAATTTGTAGGCTGGGCACAGTACCTCATGCCTGTAATCTCAGCATTTTGGAAGGCCAAGGCAGGAGGATTTCTTGAGGCTAGGAGTTCAAGACAGGCCTGGGCAAAATAGCAAGATCCTGTTTCTACTAAAAATACAAAAATTAGCAGGGCATGGTAGCACACACCTGTAGTCCTAGACACTCAGGAGGCTGAGGCAGGAGGATCACTTGAGCCCAGGAGTTCAAAGCAACCGTGAGCTATGATCTCACCACTGCATTCCAACCTGGGCAACAGAGCAAGACCCTGTCCCTATAAAGCAAACAAACCAAACTTGTAGACTAGCTCCATCATAAACTTGTATTAAAGCTCTGAACCAGGTTGGCAAATGGCTACAAGGTTGGCAAATGGCTACAAGAAAGGGTTCTCTATATCCATGGCAGACACAAATAAGTTCAATAGCCTCACCCTCTTCCCTGTACCCATGGCCCTCCAACCTTTAAGCCTAGGCAAGTCCTTACAATATGGACTGAATACCTACTATGCACAAGCTCTCATGCTAGATGCAGGCATGGTACGAAACCCACTTTAGTAATCTTACCATTCAACATTTCAGCACACTGGTTCAGCACATTGTTTTAGCGTCAGACTTGTGTTTCTGTTTACTGGGTACACAGATCCCTAAAGTATAGATGTCATACCTTGATGACAACAGCCACTAAGATACCCAAGCTAGCTCGTAATGTCCCCATCCAAATCAAACAATCTTAAGATTGTAATTTTGTCCCTTATATAGATTTGCCTACAAGGAGAGAATATGATGACAAAAGAACTTAAGATGCTGGTTCCCTGGGCAGTTAGTTACACATCTTGATGTTAATTCATCAGGTAGAGTGCAGTAGCCCACTCCTGTGATCCCAAAGAGGCCAGGGCAGGAGAATCCCTTGGGCCCAAAAGTTCAAGCCCAACCTGGGCAACACCCTGTCTCTATTAAAAAAAAAAAAATCATTCTTAGTTAGATACTATGCATCTGGAAAATTGATTAGAAGTGACTGGCCTCCCCCTGCACAGATTCTTCCTATGTAGGGATTATTGTTTAAGATTTGTGACTCGCTTGCTGACTTATAGGTCTCCCCTGTGTCCTATTCTCACAAAGGTACAGCTGAAAAAGTACATCCTGCATCCTAAAGCATTAAACTGTATTGTACTAATAAAAAATGACAGTGCAAGAGGCCAGACACGGTGGCTCACACCTGTAATCCCAAGCCAAGGTAGGCAGATCACCTGAGGTCAGGAGTTCGAGACCAGCCTGGCCAACATGGTGAAACTCCATATCTACTAAAAATACAAAAATTAGCTGGGCTTGGTGGTGGGTGTCTGTAATCCCAGCTACTCGGGAGGCTGAGGCAAGAGAATTGCTTGAACCCAGGAGGCAGAGACTAAAGTGAGCTGAGACCACGCCATTGCATTCTAGCCTGGGTGACAAGAATGAGACTCTGCCTCAAAAAAAAAAAAAAAAGAAAAAAAAAAAAGACAGTATGAGAGAATTTCTTAAACTCTTGCCAATGTATATTAAAACTGCACTCAACAAAACAAGGTGACAGGTGAATTAAAACCTCAGACTTCACCACTAGATAATTCATCCATGTAACCAAACCACTTCTACCCCAAAAGCTACTGAAACAAAAAAATTAACAAAATAAAAATTAGAGTTCAACTAGGGCCATGCATATGTTTTTTTTAAGTAAGTAGATAAAGCAGTCCCAGAACTGATCTGACTTTCATAGCTAGACTTCAATGTTATTACAAACTGGTCTGTCAGAGTCAAGCCATTTTGTTCTTCTGTTGGACATAATCTCAGACTCTATCAAATGAAGTCACTCTAAGACTTTGTTATGATAAAGTGACACAAAAACAAGGTCACTGTGCAATCCACAATACCAAACATCCCCCTCCTGTACTAAATGAGTGACTGTCATTTCTTTACCAACCATAGCTTTTTCCTCAATCTATTCTGCCCTCCCTATAAAGAAGATTTATAGAGATACCCAATCATAGAATTGTCCTGTCTTCTGACAGCACCCAAGACACAATGAGCTCCCATTTCCTTAAGATTCTCCCTAATATTACCCAGCCAGAGCCCAAATTCTATGATAGATTCTAACATCCTCTTACTAAGACACCACAGTAAGGTGTGTTCTTCCTTACTGTGAAGAGTAATAAACCCAATTTGTTCAACTACCTGTATGCTCCCAGTGGTC